TTCTTTACAGCAGTGGTGGGATGTAGATAAAACTAAAATCAAACCACTTTGCTGACAGTACACTTTCAACGTCTCAAAGGACGTGACCAGATCTATGAGAGCTCTGGAGAGAGAAGTGGTGGAGCTGCAGGAGGTAGTTGACTCCACAGGAGAACGAGAACACGTTAAAGTTCTCAAAGGCAAAAAAAGCAGCTCTGTCTGACCTGATGGCCATCTCTGCTCAAGGTGCTCTAGTTAGATCTCGATTTCAGAATGCTGTAAAAATGGATGCTCCCTCTCACTTTGTCTTTGGTCTTGAACATAAGAATGGACAGAGGAGGCTGATACACTCTCAGCNGTAGGAGTCTGTGAGGTGGTGAGCGGTGTTTGTGGAGGGAGGAATCCAGCAGCGTTGTGGAGGACTGGAGCTGGCAGGTGAACCAGACGGCTTGTGCAAAGTCCAGAGATACTAATGTGGCACAGAACAGCATCAGTGAGATGAGATGTGCAGCGTGTTTGCAGACAGTTTTGAACGTGCAGATGTTCAAACACCTCAGAGAGAAATAAAGCAAATGTGTTTGTCTTATTTGAAGCAACAAATACTGTGGGTGAATTTTAATTCCGATTTTTCTGATCTTGTGGGACTGTCTGTATAACCTCATATGTACAGTTGAAACCAGAAGTTTACATAGGCTGTATAAAAAGACACACAACCTTTTTTTTTTCTCACTATCTGATATTAAATGTGACTAAACTTTTCCTGTTTTAGGTCAGTTTGGATTACCAAAATTATTTCTATTTACTAAATGCCAGAATAATGAGAAAGATAATTTTTTGTTACCTTCTTCAAAGTCAGAAGTTTTCATACATTTCCTTAGTATTTGGTAGCATTCTCTTTAAACATCATGACTTAGGTCAAATGTTTTGGGTTTCCTTCCACAATCTTCTCACAATAGTTTATATATAAACTATATAATAAATTCTGGTCCATTCCTCCTGACAGAACTGGTGGAACTGATTCAGGTTTGTTGGCTGCCTTGCTCCACATGCTTTGTCAGCTCTGCCCACAAATTTTCTACAGGATTGAGATCAGGGCTTTGTGATGGCCACTCCAAAACATTGACTTTGTTGTCCTGAAGCCTCTTTGTAACTAATCCAGTGGTGTGCTTAGGGTCATTGTCCATGTGGAAGACCCATTTGAGCCCAAGCTTTAACTTCCTGGCTGATGTCTTGAGATGTTGCTTCAATGTTTCCACATAATGTTCTTTCCTCATGATGCCATCTATTTTGTGAAGTGCACCAAGCCCTCCTGCAGCAAAACACACCCACAACATGATGCTGCCACCTCCGTGCTTCACAGTTGGGATGGTGTTCTCAGGATTGCAAGCTTCCCCCTTTTTCCTCCAAATGTAACGATGGTCATTATGGCCAAACAGTTTAACTTTAGTTTCATCAGACCACAGGACATGTTTTCAAAAATGAAGGTCTTTGTCCCTGTGTGCATTTGCAGACTGTAATCTCTTTTTTTTTTAGGTTTCTTTTGGAGTAATGTCTTCGTCCTCTCTGAGTAGTCTTTCAGCTAATGTCGGTACAGGACTGGTTTCACTGTGGATAATGACTGTCTCTTACCAGCTTCAGCAGCATCTTCACAAGGTCTCTTGCTTTTGTTCTGGGGTTGATACGCACATTTCACACCACATGAATCACTGGGACACAAGTTTTGAGTGACAGTCACTCAAAATTGGTACATGGCATATAAACATATGCCTTTAGACTTATGTTACACTTTTTAAAGAATGGAGAGAGTAATCACAGATTAATAAACAGGGGTTTTAGTTGGCGTTTCCATTGTGATTATTCAATGATCATCAATTACTAGTGAATAATGATTTTTAATTAATCAACACTTCACAAGATAGTTTCCTCAAGAGGCTTTTTTGAGGGCTCTACTGCTATTCTGATATAAAACTTGAACATAAGACAATGCCCACATAAGACAACGCCCACATAGAAACAAAAAACACATCCCTAAAAATATTCTATATTAATATTGTTTTCTACTTACACAGTGTATTTTTTAACCAACATCAGTCCTGACAAAATTTGATTTATTTCCAGTGTTTGAACCCTTTAAATGTCAGTTTATTTACATGGTGCCAGTGGTCATGTGAAATTCATTTCCATATAATAAATGTAAGAGGAAAATTTTAACACTAACATCAGTAAGTACAAAATACATCAAACAGCCATCGCTTG